TGTCTGCGTTTAAGTGCCGTGCAGCGGTCCCGCGTTGAGGGAGTGCGCACACTCGTGGAGCCCCGTACTGCTGGCGGACAACTCTCGCCAGCGGGCCCCGGTAATCTATCGTCAGCGTTTTTGCAGTTTTTTCGGTATTTTTAAGCGCCCCCCCCCCGCGCCCCGGCAAGGCCATCTGGGCCATGGCATGGGTTTGCAGCTAGAGAGCCGTATTTGCACGGACCTGGGTCCTGGCGAGACCCCTCTGCAGCGTGCACAGCTCGGTGCAGGCACGTGGCACAGGCCACAGCCGCTTCTCTCTTCGTCTTGTGCCGTGCGGATGCGGGCGACGCGCTCACCAAGCGCTAAGTCCTCGCGAGAAGGCCCAGACGGCGGGGGCGGTGGACGCCACGCAGTCGCGGTGGGCTCTTTGACGAACGGCCTCCGGGTAAGGGCGGCGCCGGAGCATCGCGATGTGGCGGCTGGGGCGCGGTGTCGGTGGCGGGAGTTCCTCGTTCTTCTCCGCGGGCGCGCCTCGTCCGGGTTCATATGCAGAGAGAGTTTCTCAGCGACCTGTGTGAGCTGTGTGTTGCGTTTTCAGCCTACGGAGCACACGTTCGCGGTGGGGGCGAGGGCCCCGCCCCCACCCCCCAAACACATCCGCCAATGGCATGTAGAAAGAATAAATCACAAGTCGCACAGCTCCGTCAGCTCCCCGGCTGCGAGCTCACACATGCAACTCGCACATCCTCCCCTAGCTCTCACATCCCCCGGGCGGCGCGTGTGGACGCAATCTCAGCCCTCCCAAACGCGCGGCACGACGGCAGCCTGCGTCCGGGAGCGCCGTCCAATCGCGGGACGCCGGGGTGGCCCCTTCCCCACCACAAACTCACGGCGAGCGTTGTGCGATGACAAGGCGCTCGGGCCGGCGGCGGCGGTGGCCAAAGCCCAGAGGCCGGCGCGGGGCCCGAGAGCAAGGCCGCCGAGCGGCACGTGTGCGCCGCTCCGGCGGTCAGTCCGCCTTGCCGGCCTTGGCCTCCTTGCGGCCTGGCGGCGGCGGGAGGCTGCGCGGCCGCGAGTAGGTCGCCTCGCCTAGAGCACGCACCCGCCTCCTTCTCGCACCCACCTCCTTCTCGCACCCGCCTCCTTCTCGCACCCGCCTCCTTCTCGCACCCGCCTCCTTCTCGCACCCGCCTCCTTCTCGCTCCCGCCCCCTTCTCGCACCCGCCCCCTTCTCGCACCCGCCTCCTTCTCGCACCCGCCTCCTTCTCGCACCCGCCTCCTTCTCGCACCCGCCTCCTTCTCGCACCCGCCTCCTTCTCGCACCCGCCTCCTTCTCGCACCCGCCTCCTTCTCGCACCCGCCTCCTCCTCTCCCGCCACAGCCAGCAGTGTCTACACTCGTCCTGGGCACGGCCGACGGGGCACCACGCACTCCCGAAAGACGACGGGGGCACGGCACGGGGCGGTGTGTGCCTTCTCGGGGAGAGGCAGTCCACAAAGGCCCGATGGAGCTTGTGATGGATCCCGGCGGCCGAAGACGTGCGTCGGTTCGCCCGCGAGGCTGCTGTTGGCAGAAGCTCGCGGCCAGTCTCGGCCAGTCTCGTCTCATCTCGGAGAGTCTCGGCTAGTCTCGCCGGTGACGCTGTTGTAGAAGAAGGGGCGGCCACCGCCAGTGAACGCCGTCTCCGTCCACGCACGCGCCGCGCCGTCCCCGTCTCCGTCGCCTGAGTAGTCGCCAGTGAAGAACTGTGAGCAATTGCATCAACACGAGGGCTGCGAATACAGCGGAGATACAGCGGAGATACAGCGGAGATACAGCGGAGATACAGCGGAGAATAGCGGAGAACAGCGGTGACGTGAAAGGCAGCCGAGTCCGCGCGCTGTCTTCAAACTCTTCCCCATCTGCTTCCGCGTTGCCGTGGCCGTGGCCCGACGAGCGGGAGAGGGCCTCGCCGACAACCATGCTGCAGCAGGCGGCGACGGCGAGGCGGAGCGAGGCGGCGTGCAGGGAGTGCTCGAGATGGTGGTCAAAGAGGCCACCTGAGGCAT